TCACAATTTTACACATCACAATCGTGTCCCTGTAAATCTCTGTTGCCCTATAGGAAACAACACCAGTCTGTTCAATCTCTCCTCATAACTGAAACACCCCAGCCCTGACAACATCTGCAGTTCTTGCTACATCTTGGTAAATCTCTTCTGCGCCCTCTGCAGTGCTTTCACATCCTGCCTTTAATGTGGATTCCAGAACTGCACACAATACTCTAGCTGTGACCTAACTAATGTTTACACTGTTGCGCCACATCCTCCTTGCTGTTAAACTCTATACCTTTTCTTCCACCCCGACACTTTTCCTCTTCAGTCTGATAGAAGCCAATACAATACCTGACCTTTTGGCTCGTTCACTCTTCCTAAAAAGAACTTGTTTCTGTCTTCTTTGCCTTCCTGAATCATAGGATACCTTGTTGCTAGCCAACAGGTCATTTTTTTTCTCCTTTTTACTCTTCTAGAATACTTGATTATTAACCTTGATGGTTTTTAACAGACTCATGTAAATACTTGTAAATGACTTTCCAAATACCTTGGGACAACTCACAAATAAACAACTCAAAAATAAAACTGAGTGCATCCCCTTACTAACTCTCGCTATGTAGAAATACAATGACACTTAAAGCTATTTGTGATTTTGTCCACGTTTGAACCCAAGATCTGATTTTAATTAGATCAGGTATGATTTGGCCAGAATGGACTGGGACCAGATAATTTTAGGTGAATCTGAGTCAGAGCAGTGAGATGCATTCAAGAAGGAAATAGGGACGGTACAAGGCCAACTTGTTCCAATAAAGAGAAAGGATGTCATTGAGGCTAAGAGTCATTTGACATAGAAATAGGCCCTTCAGCCCACTTTGCTGACCAAAAATCACCAAACTACACTAATCCCATTTACCTGCAATTGGTCCATAGCCTACTTGACATTTTAAGTGCTCATCCAGATGCTTCTTAAATGTCGCTAGATTACCTGCCTCTACCACCCTTGTGGACAGCACATTCCATATACTTACCACCCTTTTGGTGAAAAAATGTTTCCTCAGATCTCCTCTAAACCACTTACTCCTCATTTTAAACTCATGCCCTCTGGTCTCAGATTTGTCTAACATGAGGTAGAGATTCTCATGGTGTACTCTGTTTACGGCTATCATAATTTTGTATATCACAATCAAACTCTCCCTGAACCTCCACTGCTCCAAAAAGAAAACAAGCAAAGTCTATCCTGTCTCTCCTCATAAGTGAGACTTTTCATCCCAGGCAACATCCTAGGGACTCCACTCTGCACTCTCTCCAGTGCAGTCACATCCTTTCAATAGTGTTGTGACCAGAACTGTGCAGTATTCCAGATGTTGCCTAACCAGTGTTTCATAAAGTTGTAACAAGACTTCATTGCTCCTATATTCCGCGCCCCAGCTAATGAAGACAAGTGTCCCATGTGCCTTCTTCACCACCCCGTCTATCTGACACCTTCAGGGATCTATGGACTTGTACACCAAGATCCCTATGTTCCTCAGTACTTCCTAAGGACCTACCATACATTGTGTATATCCTTCCCTTTTTAGACCTCCCAAAATGTATAACCTCACATTTATCAGGATTCAATTCCATCAGCCGTTGCTCTGCCAAATATACCAGCTCACTTGCGATAGCCTAAGATTATCCTCCTCACTATCAACAGCACCATCAATTTTCGTGTCATTTGTTGGTGGAACCAACAAATCCAGAGAACCCTGAGGATCAAAGGATTGCATAAAGAGAAAAAGGGAGGCTAATGGCAGATACCGAGGGCTCAAAACAGTGGAAGCCTTAGAGGAAAACAGAACGTGCAAGGGCAAACTTAAAAAAGAAATTAGGAGAACAAAAAGGGGGTGGGAAAGGATAATGGCTGGTAAAATAGAGGAAAATCCTAAGTTACAGTACAGGTACATTAAGGATAAATGGATAACCAGGAAAGAATAGGGCCCATTAAGGATGACAGTGGTAATTTATGCACGGAGGCACAGGGCATAGATTGGGTTCTAAGTTGTCTTGGTGTTCACTAGTGAGAGGGATGAGGTGGGTATAGAAATCAGAGAGAAGGATTTTGATGTCATTGAAGAAGTTAACATAGGCAGAGAGGAGATTGTGAGAGATCAGGCAGGCTTAAAAGTAGATAAATCTCCAGGGCTGGGTTAAAAGTATCCCAATCAAGTTGAGTCAGATAAGGGTGGAAATATCAGAGGTTCTGGCAATGACTTTCCATTCCATCCCAGCCACAGGAGAGATGCCAGAGGACTGGAGGATAGCCCATGTGGTACTGTTATTCAAGGAGGGAGCAGGAGGAGCATTGTTCCATCTAAATGGTTACTGATAGTGCAGTGCGAATGGCCAATTGTCCCTAAGGCTTCTGTGGCCCTGAGTGCACAGCTCAATCGTAGCTTGGCACATGTGACTGAACCACACCTTTACTCTGTCACTTTCATGAGAAGAATTTCTTATTGAATAACGCACATTTATGGCCTGCCACATTGTTTGCCATCTGCATTCTTGAGCATCTTTCATTCTTTCACTGGTACATCTGTGCTGAAAATTCCTCTGCATTATTGGCATGGCGTTCTGAATTGTACCCACCTTTTTGCTGAGCTAAGTTGGCACTGGAATGCAACACTCACATTTCGTTTGTTGCTATCTATGTAATTGTGTGCCATTTGTTGTTGACCAGTAAAAAGACTATAGTTTAGACTAGTCAAATTGTTCTCTCTGCTAAGTTCCAAAAACCAGCTTTTGGAACAAATGAATAACTAGTTTTCTACACTTCTGTCATCAATAACATGCGGGGCAAAACATGGTCTGTACATAGCAATATAATTCATTTACAGATTTATTGTACAAGGCTTTGGCAGTAACATAAACCCCTCTTGGCTATACTGCATTCATTGAATTATTTTTTTTGCCTCCTATTTTGTCATTCACCAAAGCACATTTTCCCCTCCTTTTGTGAAAACCTCACCTAATTTCCATGTAACATCTCATCAAGAGCTAATGCCAGTTCCTCCTCCGCATTACACCCCAGGCAAGTCAGCCCCATTGAGGCTTCGGTGGCAATGAGCCTAAAAGGAATGAATTAGGTTGCATCTGCCAAGTGCTAAACCCAATCTGTTCGTCATTGTATGGTATGTTTACAAATCCATTTGCAAAGCCAGTTTTTTTCCGCATTGTAGGCAACAGGAGGGCAGTAGAGGGAACAGGCGTCGCTGACAGGGCATTGTCTCAAATTGATTAGCCTGTGGTGACTGGATTCTTATAGTTCTATTAGTGGGAATGTTGAAAGATGTTATCAGTTTATCCTGTAATCATAGTGCTGTGAGGCTGCCTTTCAAAACCTCCTCCCACTAACACACACACTAACCGCTGGTAGCAGTTTATTATCCTGTCAAAAATACTTTTGAATTTCATGAAAATAAAAGTTCTTCACAGCTAAATTCAAGATTTTTGTCTTCAGGTTAACCTAAGTTATGCACCATGTTAAACCAAATTTAAAAAGTTGTTTTGGGACAGGCTGCCTGCTTTAGCCTTGTAATTCCTTGAGTGTAGAAGAATAAGAGGTGACATAATTGAAGGGTTTGAAAGAAATAAAAGGATATATAGAAAGAAATTATTTCTTCTGGTGATGGAGCCCAAAATGAAGGGGCAGGACCTTAAAATTAAAGCTAGACTATTTTGGGGTTGATGTCAGGAAGCAGTTCTTCACTCAAGCAAGATGGAAATCTGGAACTTACTTCCCCAAAACAGTTGTAAATTTTGAAAATGACAATCCAAATTTTCAAAGCTGAGATTGATAGATTTTCATGAGGGAAAGGATATTAAAGGCAATGGAATCAAAGTGGGCAGATGGAATTAAAATACAGATCAGCCATGATTGATCAATTGGACGATAAAAGAGACTTGAGGGCCAACTCAAGTTCCCACGTTCCTAGATACTCTTGGGCCCTAAATGCAAAGCTTAAATCAAAGTTCCTATTCATTTATTTTCTTCTCCAATTGCTGTTACAGACCAATCTCTGTTCTCTGATTTAGGACCTAGACCACATTGAGGCAAACCTTTCTTAACTTGATAACTACAAAGTTGAAACATGACAAAATAACAAGTATGAAATGGATTTGCAAAGGTACCTTGGAGCTTTAGAGTTTTATGAGTTGGTTCATCAAGGCTTGATCAGAGGGTTGCAGATGGGCCATTTCCCCGATCCTACAGCCCCTGCCAAACACATTCCCACACAGCTATCTTCGCCTCCGAATTAAAACACTCTGTTCAATACAAAACAAATAAGCAAAGGCCACCTACTGAAAAAATCCAATCGATAGAAATTATTATTACACAGAATTGTATAAAACACCAATTCCCTATTTAGTTCCTTCAATCCAAGAGATGTGAATGTGACAAAATCACAACAGCTTCTTCACTGATAATTTCTAAACTTCAGTGCCACACGATCTAATCTGGGTGCATGATCCTTCTGAACTGTTTACAGTGAAGGGATGGACCTAGTTTCAGCTGACTCAGAGTGATTCAGATGCTTTGTCTACATTTTTCAATCCTAACCGCATCGTGACACCATACCAATATGACACCTGTATTTCCTACAATGGCCATCCATGTGGATCCCTGACTGAAACTGAGAGGCGATGTGCAGTTTTATGTTGACAAATTACATTTACTTTGCTTGATACTCACAAGCATATATTTCTGAAGGACTTTTCTTGGCAGAGAAAACAAACTTCTGTCCCATCAGTTTTTATGAAGTCAAGGAGGTGAAAAGCCCAAATGATAACTCATTGTATCTCCCAGGACTAAGCATTTAATATGATAAAATTAAAGGTGACTTACTAGGCTACCTTAGCCCAAACATGAAACTGATGAAGGAGAATCTTTAGAATCTATTATCTTTAAATAAAGTCTAATATTTCCAGAACATTTTTGGTAAGTGGGAGGATAATCACTTGGAGATCAGACAGACTCTTACCTTGAAAGCAATAGTCCCAGTGTCTCCAAAGGGTTTGCTGAAATGTTCCACCTCCTGAGCACTGCATAACTCTCAGACAGTGAATCTGAACCACAGCTAGGTGCACTGCCCAGTAAGAGAGGAAGGAAACAGTTTGAACTGTTACAGAATGAACGTTTTGTCCAGAGCAAGTTTTTCTCTTCTTCTTCAATCCTGCAAACAACAGCAGAACGGAAGTGAAAATGTTGTGACACCAAGCCTGACATCTGACAGGTTGTAGTCATGATGAATGATACCAGCATTTCAGAATTGGAACATTTTCCCTTGAGTGAAAAGCTGAGCCAGCATGACACAAGTCAAAACTTTCTTTGACAATTTATCTGAGCCTTAATCCGAGGCCAGCTACCTGTCTTTTAGATTCTTGCGCTTCAAATCCCTGTCACCCTTGATATGGGAATTGTCAACTCAAAGTCAATTAATATCAGATTGATTGAGTACTTTTGTATCTGAGGTATTCCATTTTTGAACATTTGATCAAAATCCCTGCCAAGGAATGTGAACGTTGCTTTTTTACTGTGCGAGAAAGTGAAACGAGTTGGATTCAAAACCAGATCAGAGAAATAAATTGTGTTCCAAAGCACTGTACTGAACAGGGCAGTACAAACAGGGTCTAATTAATCTTGGAACATCATGATATTGATTCAAAAACAGAAACAACATGACACATGAAGTGTTTTAATTACGTGTTAAAGTAAAAAAAAAACATCTGAATTAATGTACTGGGCCATGCAGAACAGGATTAATCTGTATTCTTATCTCAGTCAAGAAAGACAAAGGTGGACTCAGCACCGTGCTAGAAAGAACAAAAAGAAATAGAAGACTTTCAGCAATGCAGCACTCACAATACCATCAGGAATTGCTACCCCAGTGAATAGGGCAACAAGGCTAATTCAACTGCTCCAATTCTCACTGTAACAAATCAGCCAGCTCAAGACAAATGAGAATAAGTTCTGGGATCTTACTGTTCTCATGCCTAACTTTCACAACATGCAATGAATTCAGGCCTGCTTCTTTCTGGTAACTCATTCATGGATGTAGTGACCTTTGTATAATAGGTTTTGTCTGCCTTGCCTCACCAACCCAAACTTGAAGATTTTCAATCTTGTTATTCTGTACTTGGATTCTCATCAACAGAGACAGATAAGAGGATCAACTTGGTCAAATGATGGACCTCAGAGAAATGGATTGATGCGCAAATTAACAAGATTGCCGTCAGAGTCTGGAAGTTACAAAATGACTCTTCTATTACACTGGCAGGGCAGTTTTGCTACTCAATTAAAACAAACAATAGCAAACAGGGTCAAAGAATCTTCAAACACAGAAAGAAGCCATTTGACTTGGCAAGTCTTTGCTACAACATTCCAATATGAATCTCACTGTCTTGTGTTATCTTCTCTGTCAAATGTTAATGTATCCTTAGGAATGATGCAATGGCCTCTATTTTAGCTACCAGCAAATCATTCCACAACTTTCTGCAGAAATTATTAATACTACCTTTTCTTTTGGCTCCCAGCACACATTGAAATCTAAACTCGCATCCTTGTTTTGAAATTTCATGATGACCTTGCCTCTCCCTATTTCTGTAACCTGCTGCATGTATAAAACTCTCCAAATTCTCTGTGTTTCTTCTATTCTCTTATGTCTGACAAGTGGCAAGTGACATTCGTGCCAAACAAATGCCAGGCTATGCCCATCACCAATAAGAGACAATCTAACAACCACCCCTTGACATTCAATGCTGTTACCATCACTGACTCCCCCACTATCAACATCCTGGGGATTACCATTGACCAGAAACTCAACTGGACTCACCACATAAACACAGTGGCTACAAGAGCAGGTCAGAAGCTAGGAATACTGCGGAAAGTAACTCACCTCCTGAATCCTCAAAGCCTGCCCACCATCTACAAGGCACAAGTCAGGAGTTTGATTGAATACTCCCCACTTGTCTGGATGAGTGCAGCTCCAACAATACTCAAGAAGCTTGACACCATCCAGGAAAAAGCAGCCCGATGATTGGACCCACATCCACAAGCATTCATTCCCTCCACCATCGACGCTCAGTAGCAGCAGTGTGTACTATCTACAAGATGCATTGCAGAAATTCACCAATTTCCTCAGACAGCACCTTCCAAACCCACGACCACCTCCATCTAGAAAGACAATGTTCACATTCCGAGATCCTTTCTCTCGGAAGGGAGTGGGAACTGGTGGCCAGGAAACCACGGAGTGGGGATCCAAGCTTTGTTCTAAGAGGTCTCAAGGGGCAGTCAGAGTCTGTGAATCCACCTACTCACCACAACAGCAAATTGCTGCTTAATGCACAACACCCACATCATTCTGCAGTCCCTGATGCTCAGGACTCCTGTCTAACATCCTTCATCTCATCCTATAAGCGAATGCTGTCACTCTCTCCTCAGCCTCTCACAGTCTCCACATATTCACCCAGGACAGGCACAGCACTCAAAAACAGTGCAAAATGACATCTGACAATCTCTGTTGCAGGATCAGGTGAGAACAGAGTGGAGTAGAACCAGTGGGAGACATGGATGACTGCACCTCTTGAGTGTTAAAGAGGAGATGGTTCTCTATATTGTGGAGCCAGCTGTGATGGGTCCCCTGGCATCCAACTTTTAGGGAGACATTGAGTATGGTGGTATCTTCCTGCCTGAAGTGCTTCTCAATTCCCAGAACACTTTCGCCCTTCTTCTAGCTGATGGACTGTCAATGCCGTGACCATGTACTGACTCTCTCCCAATTGAGACCCCCTCCTGCTTCACAATCTTCCCATTCTGAGTTGCTGCTTTGAGAACTGTTGTCTGCCCAACCACACCAGCTCCAGGAGGAGGAAGGAGAGCAAACTACCAGCTCAGATCCTGGCACTATTTTGAGTTGAGTACAGAGGTTGGGCCCAGCACATGGTGAGTCACTGGGCATGAATGAGCTACAACCAGAAGGTTCATTGGCCACTTCACTGGGAGGATGAGGTGAGGAGTGATATGCACTGCTGCGGTGGATTCAGATGAGGACTCCCATGAGATTTGCTTAACATATGAGGAACGTTTGAGGACTCTGGGACTATACTCATTGGAGTTTAGAAGGATGAGGGGGGATCTAATTGAAACTTACAGAATACTGAATGGCCTGGACAAAGTGGATGTTGGGAAGATATTTTTATTTGTAGGAGAGACTAGGACCCGAGGGCACAGCCTTAGAGTAAAGGGAAGACCTTTTAGAACGGAGATAAGGAGAAACTTCTTCAGCCAGAGAGTGGTGAATCTATGGAATTCACTGCCACAGAAGCCTGTGGAGGCCAGGTCATTGAGTACATTTAAGACTGAGATAGATAGGCTCTTGATTATCAAGGGGATCAAGGGTTATAGGGAGAAAGTGGGAGAATGGGGTTGAGGAACGTATCAGCCATGATTGAATGGCGGAGCAGACTTGGTGGGCCAAATGGCCTAATTTCTGCTCCTTTATCTTATGGTCTTATGGTCTTATGGAGATAGTACAGAGGCGAGCTGTGAAGGGCCTGAATAGGTATAGAAACTGAGATGCTGAGTATATTGTCTGACATGCCTTCTATCACTGTTGAGGCGCTCCAAGTTGACAATGTACAAGGCACAGAAGTTACCCACTCCACAGCCTTGGCTCAATCTCCCAGACATGTTGCAGAACCAGAGGCACTGTGACGGCCATGTCCATATATGTTGCAGTCTCTGAGTGTACAGGCCATCCCTGCACGGATCTGGTGACAATGTCTGGCAAATGCAGGAACTCGACTAAAACACCTCCTCCAGAATACTGTCAGACACTGCAACAGAAAATGACTCAAAGTATTTAACTTATCAGTAGTCAGGGTGCTTGGCTTTTTAATACTACATTACCTGTCTTGCTGCATCCGTAGCCTTGGATATTGTGGAACAGGACACAGATAAAGACCGACAATGCAGCCTGCCCCCGAGAAAGCCAACCCTATCATTATTGTGTTGCTGGAAGCTACAGATATGAATTTCCCTTAATCTCTCCTATGGCATAAAACTCAATATACATAACAGGCCTTCTGTTAGGTGCCAATTTGAATACCTTCTGACAATGCAGGCAAACTGATTCTACTGTATTCCCTCACCTATAAAGTCAGCCGCATTTTCAACAAAATTCTTTTAATTTTGAATATGATGAATGCAGACTAACTTTGAGAAATGACATTGGCTCCCCCTAACAGATTTGAACAACTATATGGAATCCTACAGTACAGAACGTGGCCTTTCAATCAATTGTCCTCATGCTGGCTCTTTGAAAGAAAAACATTGCAGCATTCATGTCAGGGCTAAGACACAAGAATCAGTTTCCAAAGACCTAGCCAAAGAGATGCTTCAGAGACAGGGGACATACTTACAAAAGCAGAGAATGTTTCTGTTGGATGTTCGTAATCTGTTTTCTGGACACTTCATCTATATTGGTGACAGAGTGCCAGTGGTCTGCAGGAGCAGGTCGTGAAAACATGACCAAGAGTGAGGCTGGAAAATTTATCTGTATGTAAAATGATACGAGTTACATTTTGGATACTGGACATACTTTAACATTCCAGCAAGAAACAGTATTAAAATTCCTTACCAGCACATTGCAAATAACAGGGAGCAGCCAAATAACGATTTCACTGTGCTACAATGTGCATGGCAATCAGTCTTTTTCAAAGTTACCCATTGTGCAAGGCACATTAAGAGTTTCAGACATGATAGGTGCAATATAAATGCTGTATTTTCTTTATAATTAGCACCGATCACTGAAACTAACAAATCAGAGGACAGAAATGCTCCTTACCTAAAGTACATTCAGGATTTTAATTGGGAGCTGATCCTTGAACAGTCTCTTTTACTTGCCCCTTATCCCCTATATTGATCTCATTTTTCTGCTTCCTGGATGCTTTTAATTCTGTTTTAAAGAGTTACCATTATGAATGTTGTAATTAGCTTCGCACTCAGGTAACTGTGTGTTAAAACATTTCTTCTAACCTAGGGCTACACTTAAAGTCACCAACTGTCAGTGACTCACCAATCATTGGAAACCATTTACCCATATGCACCTCTCATAATTTTTAAATCCACTATCATTTTTCCATTTTTGTCCCCTAGAAGGACAAGGGCAGCAGATACATGGGAATACCACCACCTGCAAGTTCCCCTCCAAGCCACACATCATTCTGAGTTGGAAATATATTGCTTTCCTTCAGTATTGCTGAATCAAAACTATCTTCCCAAAGGCACTGGGGTGGAGGGGCAATGGTTGTGTTGATGCCACATGGACTGAAGCAGTTCAAGAAGCCAGCTCACCATTGCCTTCTCCACGGTGATAAGGGATAGGCAATAAATGCTGGCCCTACCAGTGATGCTCACACCCCATGATTGAATAGAAACAATCTTTTGTTCAAAAGAATATTGCTGTGAATACCCTTTGTGTGGAACTCAAATGTCTCATTAACAGTAAAGCTTTAAGTCTCCGTTCCCAGTGAAATACCAATGTATTATTTATTCTAATTTATCATTTCCATTCATTTTCTGAGCAGTGAACATTCATACTTTGTAAATCAAAACAAAAAAGTCTATTTATTAAAAGATTACCTTCTGCTTCCTATATCTTATCAAATGTTGGGAATGTTGCCAAGATTTTGATTTGTTTTGCAAACAGGAATAAAGAAATGCTGAATTGAAAATTAATTCCAGCAACTTTCACATTGAAGTCAATCAGCTGGGATAAAATGTGGAAGTTAATGGAATTAAGGATTGTGTTGGACATTCCTTTTGCTCCCTCATTGATTTATTTTGGTTTGTGGCCACAAAATTGTCCAATCTTTCATTGGGACAGGGCACTGGAATATTATGTCTTTTCTTAACAATTTTGCCTTGCAATTTTCTGTGGGAATTGACTCCTTGATGGGCAGAGTTTCTATAGGAGAGTCTGTTCCTCAGTATTTTACCCAATTTCCTTATATTCACAGAGTCATAAAGCATGGAAACAGACCCTTCGGTCCAACTCGTCTAAGTTGACCATGTTCCCAAACTAAACTAGTCCTACCTGCCTGCATTTGGCCCATATCTCTTCAAACTCTTCCTATCCATGTACTTATCCGAATGTCTTGTAAACTATACCTGTATCCACCACTTCCTTTGGCAGTTCATTCTACACATTAACCACTCTCTGTGTAAAAACATTGCCCCTCATGTCCTTTTTAAATCTTTCTCCTCTCACCTTAAAAATATGCCTCCTAGTTTTAAACTCTCCCACCTTAGGGGAAAGACCTTTTATATTCACCTTATCTATGCCCCTCATGATTTTATAAATCTCTATAATGTCACCCTCAACCTCCTATACTGCAGTGAAAAAAGTTCCAGCCTATTTTTATATCCCAAAATCTCCATTCTCTGCAACGTCCTGGTAAGTCTTTTCTGAACACTCTCCAGTTTAATAATCCTTCCTATAACAGGGTGACCAGAACTGCACATAGTACTTCAGAAGAGGCCCCACCAATGTCCTGTACAACCTCAATATGATGTCCCAAGTCCAATACTCAACGGTCTGAGCAATGAAGGCAAGTGTGCTAAATGCTTTCTTAACCACCCTATCTACCTGTGATGCAAATTGCAAAGGATTGTATACCTGAACCCCTAGGTCTGTCTGTTCTACAACACTACCTAGGGCCCTACCAAAAATTGTATAAGTGCTTGCCCTTGTTTGTTTTATCAAAATGTAATACCTCACATTTATCCAAATTAAACTCCATCAACCACTCTTCAGCCCATTGACCCAATTGATCAGGATCTCTTTGTAATCTTAGATAACCTTCTTCACTGTGCACAATACCACCACTGTTGGTGTAATCTGCAAACTTAATAACCATGCCTCCTATATTCTCATCCAAATCATTTATAGAAATGATAAACAAAACAGGACACAGTACCGATCCCTGTGGAAAACCGCTGGTCACAGGTCTCCAGTCCGAAAAACAATCTCCACCACCACCCTCTGTTTCCTACCGTAAAGCCAATTTTCATGCTCAATCCTTTACAGTGCAAAAGACAGACAATTGTCATGATCCCTGCAGAGGCTGACAACTTTAAAAAATAGCTGAACCTCTAGTTAGTGGGTGAAAGGATTACACAGAAAGATTTTATGTTTTAAGATTTCAACTGCAAAAAATTACTAAAAGCATTGTTGACTAAATGCTATTGATGTCGGCAATTATAATTTAAACCATCCAGAAGAATATGTCCCTTTTCTGTTCGGCACAACTGAAAGCCCACTTAAACAGGTACATTTAACTCTGTCTTTTAAGTTCAATTCAAGATATTAACAAGAAGAGACAGGGTAGATAAAGATAAACTATTTCTACTAGTTGGGGATTTTAGAACTAGAGGGTGTAGTCTGAGAATTAGGGCAATTCTATTCAAGAGAGATGTTAGGAAGCATGTTCATAAACAGAGATTGGTAAATGTTTGGAACTGTCTTCCACAAATGGCAATGGATCAGTTGTTAATTGTAAATCTGAAATTGATAATTTTTTGTTAAACAAAGGTGATAAGGGATGTTGATCAAAGGCAGGTATATGGAGTTAGACGACAGATCAGCCATGACCTCACTCAATGGTGGAATAAGCTCAAGGAGCTGAATGGCCTACTATTGTTCCTATGGTCACATAATTGGCTTGAGTTGATTCTTATCTCCATTGGATTTACTCCTTGTATTTCCATTCTAAACCTTAATCTCTGTCTTTCACAGTAAGTGTTTTTTTCCCCACTCTGAGGTTCTTCCTCTAGTGAAAAATAGATGAATCCTCTAACTTTGTTTTGACTCCTGATGGATTTGGTCATTTCAATCCAAGTGGACCTCCCATTGGACTTTTATACAACAAACGATAGAAACTTCTAGCCTTTAGCTACAGCCTCATCTGGATCCTGACGGACTAAGCTTGTCTGTATTTTGCAGGGATTTCTTAGACCCTTTCCTTTGCAAAGCCCATCTCCATGGCAATAGCAGTTACATGAGCCTTGATTCCAGGTAGAACTGCTGATTAGCTATCCTTGGGACCCCCCCAATGACTTTTATCTTGGAAGTAAATGGACAATCTAAAGCAGAAGTGTTCACAGTCCAACATTCTCAACACTTTGGAGTCTCATGGTTTGTTCACTGTTGGCACACATTCTGCTTTGGTATTAGCCCTGACTCCCACTGCTGATTGGCATTTCACGGTATCTGGCACCTCTGCCAGTTTATTATTCATTCATTTACAGGATAAGGGTGTCACTGGCTAAACCAGCATTTATTGATGTGGGTCTGAAATCACATGTAGGCTAGACCAGGTAAGAACAGCAATTTTCTTTCCTAAAGGACATTAGTGAACCAGATGGGCTTTTTCCCCAACCATCAACAATCAATTCACGGTCGTCATTTGACTCTTAATTGAAATTCTTATTTAATTCAAATTCCATTATCTGCCATGGCAGGATTTGAACCCATGTCTCCAGAACATTACCTGAGTCTCTGAATTAACAATCCAGTGATAATACCACTAGGTCATTACTTCCCCAAGTATGAAACACAAGATAAGGGTTATTTGAGGTAATTTATTCTCCTTTGTCTAGAATGTGTCCAGGGCCTGTCTAATTACCAGATGATAGATGGGTCTAAAAAGAAGATGTATTTATCTTAATTAACAAGGTAGCTTATTGTATGACAAGAATGAGCACAACTTACGTTACTAGTCAGGTCTAATTACTGAGGATTCCAAGGAGCTGCACAGAATAACTCTGCTCCCTATGAAGGAGAGGGGAGAATTCTCGTCTCTACCCAAAGACTGTATCTGACATTATCAGGTTGGGTGGACTTAATGCAACTTCAACATTAACTATTTCAGGATTATTACCTTGCAAAAGCAAAAACTTGCACTGTCTTCCCAGTAAAAACAATCTGGGTCTCCTTTAATCTCAGACAATTAAACTGCCCAGGCTTTCTGTCAGGCAGACTTCAAAACAGGTCATGTGACCTGTTTTACCTCAAATTAAAGACACAATCCAAAATGTGACAATCTTACAAACATTGTAACTGCAATGTAATAAAGAGTGGGGGAAAGAAAGGAAACAAATCAGGCCTTGAAACTATTTTCTTGGATGTTGTGAGCAGAAATCTCTGGTGATATTACCAACCCTCTCCCACCTCCATTCACTCTTAAAGCGGTTGAAGAAATAAATATATATTTAAGTACTTTTAGCAGTGACACAATAAGTTTTTGTAGCATTTGACAGGAATATGCTATTATGAATCGATCAGCACCTGAGTTTATCTGATTTTTGTTTTAGCATTCATAGCAACCATTCACCTTCACCCTCATCCAAGTGAGAATTGGCTGGCTTTTGATAGGTTTTGCTGGGGTAATGAAACACCTATACTCACTGGCAGTGAATATTTCTATCAGGGTTATTGTTGGAGCATTAACATTAAAGTTTGTTGTTTTCTACTGTATCACACATGAGAATGAATTTCACTGGGGGATTTTGGTCTGTTTTTGCCACTTCCCAACGGCCGTCCTGCAGTGATAATGCACTACAGGCTACATGAGCTGAGAGTTGGTTGTCTGACAACCCACCAGTAAAAAGAGTGCCCTGTCCTCCAGAGCTGTTGGTCCATCTGATTGCCTGTTATCCCTTGCACCCGAGCAGCAGCCTAAACTCAGGTGTGGCCGTGTGGCACTGCAAAAGGAAGCTAATGAAGATTGAGGGTAACACCAGACCCAGAGAAGTCCCTGAGGGTTTGGGTGAGGAGAGATTGGGCACCGTAGGGAGGGTCAGGAGGTGGGTAGCAGGGTAGGTGTTGGAGGTCAGATGAGGAGGCACAAAGAGGACTTATGCCAAGGGAGGAAATACTTACAGTGTGCATGGATCCTTCAAAGGATCTACACCTTCGTTAGCAACTCCTCTGTCTGTCCAACTGTCTTTCTCTCTCTTTGGGTTCTATCCTATCGTTTACTCCCTACCCCACCCACCTCCCTATTTTATGCATATAAACTGACGTTTTCCCAGCCACCAGCGGTTCTGAGGAAGGGTCACCGGACCTGAAACGTTAACTCTGTCTTCTTCTCCACAGCTGCTGCCAGGCCTGCTGAGCTTTTCCAGCAACTTTATTTTTGTTCCTGATTTACAGCATCCGCAGTTCTTTTGGTTTTTTTTTTTCTACACCTTCTTCCTTGTTTGATGGACTGGTGATCTGCTCGTGCAATATTTATCCTCCAGCTGAAGTGAGAAGTGCCAAATCACATTTCAAGAGGTGGGCATGTTGTAGTGCATGCAACATGCAGTTGTGGGGTAGGGGAAATGGTCGATGGGAAGCATGGATTTCAGTATCTCTGAAGGATGGTTCAAACAGGCAGACAGGTTCAAACAGACCTCTGTCACCAAACTTTAATCTTCGAATCAAAGGCTAGATTGAAATGTTGTTGAAGTTAGTTTAATTGGAGATTTCTAAACTTGATATAAAAGATTGATAGACAAGCGTATTCAGAGAAATGGAACAAAGGTGAGTAAATGGGGTTAAGACATGGATCAACCATGATCTAACTGAATGGTAAAACATGCTCAAGGGGCTGATTGGCCTTCCCACTTGCTGCCTTCTTACAGCTTAAGTCTGCACTCTTCTTAGGGATGAACTGAAATTGTCCACCAGAATATTGAGTTCACTTTGATTCATATAGAGTCAGAGAGTCATACAGCATGGAAACAGACCCTTCGGTCCAACCAGTTCATACCAACCATAATCCTAAACTTAACTAGTCCCTCCTGGCTGCTCCTGGCCCATATGCCACCAAACCTTTCCTATTCACGTACTTAATCAAATATCTTTAAACGTCGTAATTGTACCCACTTTGTATTTTCCTCTTGAGGATCATTCCACACACGAACCGCCCTCTCTGTAAAAAATTTTCCTCTCATGTCTTTTTAAAATCTTTCGCCTTTCACCTCAAAAGTCTTGAAATCCTCCATCCTAGGGAAAAGACACCTACCATTAACCCTATCTATACCCCTCATTACTTTATAAACTTCTATAAGGTCGCCTCTCAACCTTCTATGCTCCAGTGAAAAAAGTCCCAGCCTTTCCAGCCTTCCTCTATAACTCAGACCTTTCATACCTGGCAACATCCTGGTAAATCTCTTCTGAACCCTCACCAGTTTAATAATATCCTTCCTATAACTAGGTGACCAGAAGAAAATAATTGAGACTCTGCTTCTATTCAGTTGATTTGAATTTAGTGTTCCTCCACCTTGAGTGAGAAAGATCCCACCACTATTTTGGTCATTTTGTGTTGAAGACTGGATTATTATTCATACATTCTGGGACTCACCACAGTAGGAACAGAATGCTTGGTGGTGTAGTTCATTTATTGTTGTTCACTTCATGTTTATACTCATCTGACCCATAGTGGCTTAGTAAGTAGCTATGTCCCCAGTCATCTAACTGCAGAGCAATCTATGGGGTCTAGTGATTTATTGTTGATTACTAGTTGTCTGTTTCCAGTTCATCTGGAGATTATTCATTATTGTGTTCCATTGCACTGAGGGTGGTAAGACTGCTGTCAAAGTGTCCAATTCCCTATTGATTCTGGGATGGAATCATTCAGCTAAACTCACAACAGCAATTTTAATCAATCCAAATCTAAATCCATTGTCCCACCTTGATCTAACTTCCAATTCCACAAAGCAAAGAACTTATCACTCCTGTAAATAGTCGTAATCTCAGTTTACTGTGTCCTACATAATAGATGGTAATGAATTATTACACCAGGGTAATCGCCAGTTATCTCATCATTGGGCGTATAAAGAGTTGGCTTCTCCCCCAAATAGCTAACTGTTGGTCAGTTGTTTATTTCAGTAAACATTTCAGATCGTTCAAAATTTTGAAAGTCCAAATACATCAAATGTTTTACAAAATCATCCATGTGCACTTGCCGCCTGCCAACTCCTCTTAGATAAAATTGTTGAAGAAAATACAAAGGGACCTTTAGTGACACCATTATGACATTGCATCATTTAATTCTGGTGGCTTGGCAGCAGGTTGTATTATTTTATTCCAGTGAATTATTCCAGGTTGTTTTTTTTATTGGATTTAATGCATAATTCAATGCAAGTGAAACTTACCTGTAGGATCAAGCTGTCTGCTTGGCTAGCATTGGCTGGGATGAGACACAATAGCTTTGTACTATGGACCAACACTCTGTTGAAAAAATGGAATATGTCAATTTTAGTCATAATGCTACTTGAATAATGATCATATTTTACTTTGTGTGCAGCATTCTAAGTGGATCTACTTGACTATTCTGCCATTCGACCACTCCCAGGTTACAACAGTTTATAATCAGTCACAAAGGATAAATTCAGCAAGGAATTACAAGAAAGGAGAATCTGTCAGAGTATATATGTGTCTCTGACTCATGCCTTGAGGCTTTGTTCTAGAGTGTAGCCTTGCTGAATTTGTCCTGAAATGTTGAACAAAAACAAAGTTGCTGGAAAAGCTCACTAGGTCTGGCAGCATCTGTGGAGGAGAAAACAGAGTTAACGTTTCGG